CCCCATCCCTTTGGGGTCTGGGATAAAAAGGATGGGGATGCCGCCCATGAGATGTGCCCCAGGATGTGCTGGCAGCATCCTGGCCTCCGGGAGGGATGTGTTCCCTCTGGACTGGCCTCTCCAGCCCCGCTACCATCTCACCCACCAAGCGCTGACCCCCCATAGGGGACTTACAGGTGGGCTGGAGAGAGGTTTGATAGTTAAAGATAGAGCACGACTCGCCCGTTGGCACAGCCCCCCGCAGCCCGCTGACACCACTCCAGCCCGGCTTCATTATCAGAGGAAATAACAACTGCACATGGCTTGGAGCAGAAAATGTCCCCTCCGAAGTTTACAGCTGGCTGCGGCTGAAACCAGCTAAATAGACTGTGGAGACTTGGGGGAAATCATTTAAGGAAGGGGAAAAAAATAAACCAGCCAGTTCCCCATGTTTCTAAATATAGAGCCAGCTCTGTCAGTTTTAATAGGATGGTCATAATTGCTCCCGCCGCTTTGCTGGGCTGAGTGTGGCCTAATTGCTCGCCCATAACAATCACAAGTGTTAATACGGGGCAGTTGCGGGTTAGGGGTGTCTTGCAGCCAGGACTGCGCAGCAGCCACCAGGAAATTGCCCTGGCACAGGCGATTAGAGGTGTTAATAGGCTGGCTTAAGGGGCCCAGGAGCAGCACCGCAAGCAGCCCAGGCATTTTTCCCCTCCCGCTGCTTGAAAGAACTGTGCTGAATAGGAACAGAACTGGATCCACAAAAATATCCTGTTTTAGGCCAGCCTGACCATTTTCCAGCTGAGGGCTATAGGCAGAAGCCATCGTGGGGGCTTAAGTCACCTGGTGCTTTTTCAAGCTCAGATCCACTCAGGTCTTCTCCAGACCAGAGCCTTTGCGGTGTAGAATAGGGCAGAGGAGGCTTAGTTATTTCCAACTGGAGAGTTTTCGTGCAGTAGGAAGGAAGGCGAGAAGCTTGCCAGCATCTCTGTGCAGCCAGAAGGTTGCGGAGAGGCCGGGCTGTAGCTCCAGCGCTGGCCTGTGCAGATATCCCCATGCCGAGGGTCTCCGGGCAGCTCTGCCCTCCCTCCCGTGCCCTCCCTGCCTAAGCTGCCGCTGCTTCCCAGCCCCTGGGGTTTCCTGTGCTGATGAGCGCCCGGGTGTGCTCAGGAAATGCTGGATGAAAGCGAAATACGCTGACCGCTGGGGCCCCTTCCCTCCACCCCCAGGCCCCAAAGAGCCGTTGCCACCGCTCTCCTCACCCCCATGTTGGAGATGATGGATCAGTGCTGCAGAAGGCCATGGCAAGAAACAAGTAACATCATTGGGTGCCTTGAATTTCCCATCCCTGGAGACCCATCTTTAGTTTTATCCCAACTTTAAGCGGTTTAAATGCTACACAGCTGCACAGACCCTCCCAGGAGGGACAAACATCCGCTTAGCCACATCCTCTCTGCTGTAAGGCTGCGCTGCCGCTCCATGGGGCAGGGCAGGGGAGGGAGGGCTGGCGAGCGGAGCGGAGGCTGCTGCATACCTGGCTGGAAAGGTCACGCAGCGGCAGCTGTTTTGGTGCTGGAGGAGCATCGCTCTCCTGAACATCCCTGCAGCCTGCGAGGCAGCTCATGTCAGCCTGTGCTTCGGGCAGCACTGGGAATTCGTCAGCAGTCATCACTGGTAGTGGCAGAAATGAGGATGAGAAGCTTGTGCGAGCGATTTCACTTAGATGGTGGCTTGCTCCAGGCTCTGTTCCAGAAGCCCAAGCGTTGTGCTCTGCGGTACAGTCACATTTCCCAGGGCTCGGCTGTGGACTATGGCAGTCACAGCACCTGAGCTGGTCAAACTGGAGATGAGAGCGTGTTGCAAATCGGTTGGCACTGGGGAGTGCTTGGATTCGCAGCTGCTGGGCTGTAACTTGAAGCACCGCAGCTCTCCCGCAGAACTGGAAATGTCAGCCTCCGGCTGGGAGCACTGGTCTGCCCCTCCTGCTGGGCCACAGGGCTCGGCAGCTCCGTCGTGCTCCCGCTGAGCATCTCCACACATGGCCAGGACAGAGACAAGCCTCTAGCTGTTAGCTGGAGCCAACGTGGCAATGAAAACAGATCCAGGCACTGGGGCAGCAAGAGCTGCCTTCCTGGTGGGGCAGAGTCAGCCACTCTCAATCAGACCTGCAAGCACCTTCCTCTTCCCAAAGAGCAGCAAAGCCTGTGTACAGCCCTGTCCCTCTGTCCCCAGGGGTCCGACCAGTGGTCCTGAGCCCCCTGTGGGAAGGCAGGTCGAGGCATGGGTACCCACACAGCAGATCAGCTCCTGCAGAAAAGGCTTGTTTGCTGTTTGAAAAGACCCCAATTTGCCTACACATAGATGCTGTGGCACTAGCTGGGAGGGTGTTTCAGTCTTATGAAGTAGGGAAGGACATAAATGCAGTGGTGGATCCTAGCAGAGGAACACTTGTTGTCCAGTTCTTTTAATAAAAGTGTCTGATCTCTCCCCTCTGCAAGAATAAGCATCCACTCAGTGTCCTGTTGCTCTGAGATTGTTTAATATTAAAGTCATGGAGAAGGGTAGGGTTAACACCAGCTACAACTAACATTAAACACAGCCAGATTATTTTTCTCCCATTCAAAGAACAACACAAACTGTAACAGATCATCCCTCCTCAGTCTGTCTGCAACCTGTGAGCACCTCCACGCCAGCAGTGATCCACTGCATGCCACTATTGCACATCACCCTAAAAGTCCCTGGAGGTGCAACTCCAGACGCAGGATCCCGCTTCGATTTCCAGACTGAACACGCTCACGAGAAGATGTGTTTAAGGCTCAGTTCTCCCCAGCAGCAGAGACTCTCGGGAAGCAGAGTGGGGGTTTTGGAGTGGGAGAAGGCGAGGTTTTGCAGTTGCTTCAGTAAAGAGAGGAGGTGGCTGAGCTGTAAGGAAACGCTGTTCTCGTTTGCACTTCAAATCGTTTCTTCTTGGTGGTACTCTTACCTCCAGGCTGGTTCCCCCAGCCCTCTCCCCGGCCATCAGCGGGCCGTGGCAAAGCCGATGCGGTTGTTGCGCCGGTCAAACTTGGTGTAGTAGTGCCCGATGAAGCTGGCGCCCAGGATCCAGAGGGGACCAGCCGGGGGTGGGATGTCCAGCCCCGAGAAAGCCACCACGCAGACGTCCTCCCCATACTGGGATTGCTGCAAAGAGGAGGAGACCCACGCGGTGATGGACGTGCCAGGAGGGAGATCTCTACTGCAGCGTGCCCGAGGAAGGGCTGTGATCCCCAGCTCAACACCCTCTGCTTGGCCTCCGTGTTCCTTCCACCAGGAAGGAGGATCCTTGCCTGTCTCTGCTCTTTGCTGCTCACCCCAAATCTCCCCAAAACCACCCAAGGAAGCAGCGACAGGTTGGTCTGAGTCATCTGGACACCTCTGCTGAACGGGAGGGTTTGGGGAAAAAACAAGAAACATCATTCTGGGGCTCATCTCAAATGCTTTAGGGGAGCCAGGAGGTCGCAGGATGCTCCAGGAGAGCTGCACCCCAGGATGCACCGTGCTCCCCAGCAGACTCACCCGGCTTGGGGAGAGCCACCCTCCCACCCTGCACAGAGGGCTGCAGCTTACCCGGAGGATGTAGGCTGAGCCGCTGAGCCCGTAGGCCTTCCCACCCAGGTGGAAAGAGATGTTGGGCAGCTGAGGGACTCGGTCGCAGTCCACCACGTACTGTGGGAGGAGGAGACAGCGCTGAGCCCGTTTGCTGGGGGAGGGGTGGGCTGGGGTACAGGCAGCAAGGGGGCAGGGACACGGAGCAGGGCAGAAGGGGTTTGCTCACCTCTCCTTCGGCCATTTCTGCTGCCCCGATGGCTTTCATCAGCACGGAGACGGGGCCTGCTGGACCAGTGATATAGGATGCTCCCGTGTCGACAGCCACTGAGCAGCCTTCCTTGCAGAACAGGATTTCAGCCCCTACGGACACCCTGGCGCAGGAGGGGAGAGGGGTGACCCTGAGTCTCCCACGGTGGCTGCAGCTCAGCTCCCAGGGCTGCATGTGCCCATGGGCAAGCGTGCCATATCTTTGTCCAGGGAACACTGGCCAAGCAGAGCATGTGCTGCTCCCGGTGCCTCCAGAGTACAGACTCTCCAGGGGCACCAGGAATCCTCCCTTCAAGCTTCTCAAATGTGAAAGCTAAGCTTCATCATGTGTGGGTTTTATTTTTTTGAATTAAACAAAGCAGAATTGTTTCAGTGCCTCACACTCCTTCTGCAGGACTAAAGGGGGTTAAACTCTTCCACTGCAGCTTCCAAGTTGAATCAGCCCACGGTGCCACCCCCTCTGCATTCCCCAGCTCGGCTCCTGGCTCCTTGCTGAGCAGGGAGATGCAACTCTGTGCTGGAGAAACCCACCCCGCTCCCCTCCAGAGGGGAAAGCATCCGCCAGCAACACCGAGTGAACACGTGCCTCTGTGGACCACCTTCCCCAGCACCCAGCAAGCTTTTCCCAGGCCCACCCTCGCACGCCCAGGGAGGTTTGCAGGATGCGGCCGGTGCTGTGCAGAGGCACTCCCTGGCCTCACCCCTTCATGCTGATCTGCCAGTAGCCACTCTTGCTGACGTTCAGGTAGTGGAAGTCCCCAGTGTAGTAGGCTGGGTCGCTGCCTCCGAGGATTATTTCCCCCCCGGGTTTCAGAGGAGCATTCCTAGGGTGCAAAACACAGTGGAGTGATTCCCCCTCGGCTGCTGTCCCTGAAAAAATGGGGAGAAGGGACCAGCCGCGGCCATGAGGCTCTGCTGACCCGGTTAGCAGAGGCAGAGAGCAAGATGGAGCAGGAGAAACCCCGAGTTAGTGCGCAGGGTGCAAAAGCCCGCAGGAGAGGGGTGCCACATGCTGAGGTCTCCGAGCAGGTCGGTGCTGGC